GAGCAGCTATTGCACAGACAAAGGTTGTTTTGCAAACATGGGCCGCTAATATTGACCAAAGCGTTTAGCTATTTGCTATCATTTTGGCGCTCAAGTGGATCGTGTTTGATGAGCTCTTTATATAGAGTTATGAGCGTGTAAAAATACGCATCTGGTGGTTAGAAATTAGATCAAATAGATTATTATTAAAAGTACATAATGTAGCTGTTTTCAGTCGGATTTTTCCGATGTTGAATTACTTGGAAATTTGGAAGAGTTTAGGCTCCATATTGTCAATATGAAATAACTGAATTGAAAAACTAATTCGTACTAAAAGGGGCTGGACTAACCAAAGTGCTAGGTGCAAAGTTTGACGTTTATTTGGCCAGCATTCAACGCACGAAATTTTCTTCCCTCACTTAAAAAAATGGAACAGAGTGTTTTGTATGTTGAATGTTTGCAGGATGTACGACGATACTTCGCTGAACAGGGAGTTGAACTCGGCATCCACGGGTGTATATTGCAAATTTGAATTTGGAAGGGACTCGTTGCACTTGGTTGGAATAGTAGGCAAAAATTCTCAAAAGAATGCGGCAATATGCGAGGTGTTTTGTTTTCGGTCCAAAGTAAAAACAATTGTCTTGTGGAAAGATGAGAAAAATTTCTCATAAAGAAGCCTAAAAGACCCCAGACATGGTTTATTTTTTGTTTAAAGTACACCATCTCAGGAGGCTGCTGTGGTGTAGTGGTAAGCAGTGCGCGCTTCCACTCCGCAGGACCCGGGTTCAAACCCTGGTCAAAGCAACATCGCAAAAAATATAGAAAAAAGGTTTTTTCTTAACAGCGGTCGTCCCTCGGCAGGCAATGGCAAACCTCCGATTGTATTTCTGTAATGAAAAACAGCTTCTCATAAAAAATACAATCGCCGTTCGGAGTCGGCGTAAAACTGTAGGTCCCTTCGCCTTGTGTGACAATATCAAGTCGGAGGAGAAGCTCGGCCAAACACTAACATATGTGTAAGCGCCAATCTATATATCTCAGGAGGCTGAGTTCAGACCCATCGCTTGATATGCGACTTCACTGATATTAAAGAAAATGCACGGGTCCTCGTAGTTGCGTTTGTTCACAGGTATTTTTCCCGCTAATAAAGTTTATGGGAAGTGAAAATATCGCATCTCAACAATTTGAGCCGGGATAGTAAATAGCCTAACATACTCTATAACGGAATTTTTGAATAAGCCCGGCTATAAATCAAACTTGCCTCTGAATAAAAGTAAGATGCAGTCATACACGGCTTCCCAAAATAACCTAACCTACCTATTCGCATAAATCCCAAATTTCGAAATTTATGAAAATTTACAGCTTGCTTAGATTTTAGATTTTTCTGTATCTTGTATCTTTCAGGACCGAAGAAGAGCCGGTGGCAGCAAAATAGACTCTTTCTGTCTTTGTCTCGCTACCATCTTCCACCTTTTTCGCTGCTTTTCTAGCGTAACTGGGATTTCAAGATTTTGAATGACTTCTTCCCGGCTAGTACCTTAATTTCTTCTATTCAAAATAAAAATTCCGAACATCATCTTGGCAATAAGCAGATTTTTATGAAATTTTGGAAAATTTTGCGTTTAAAATTTTGGCTGGGGAAGTATACGAAAATATTAACATTTAATTATATAATTGAACTCACCTGGTACTCGCTTGACGACAGAAAGTCTTTCCACCATTTGTTGTTGGATAACCATAAAAACTAGCTGGACGATTTGGTACGATTGTTATTGGATACGACTGTGGATTACTAATAACACTATCAAGCGAATCAGGCTCTGCTTCAATGGTGACTTGACGTTGTGGACGTGGCGGTGGTGGTGATGATGTACTCAATGGTGTGGTGGCTGAATAGCTGTCAAAACTAGGCGAAGAAGGTTTCTCAACCAAAGTGGGTTGCAGCGTATTCAATATGGTGAAGCGCATTTTGAAGCGAAGTCGTTAACGGGAAATATATAATTATATCCAAATACTAGAGCTGTAATAAAAGAAGAAAAATCAAAAAAGTAACTTAACATAAAAATAACATAAACTGGCTTTAAAATAATAAATAGCTAGTAGGCATGCAAAATACTTAAATGCAAAAAATTACTGTTTTAATAAGTCCATCATTATTTTGAATTTACACGAAGCCTAGTGAAATAGTTTTTCATATTTACTTTTAATGTATTTTATTTTTTTTTTAAATTTGATTTGGTTTACATTCATATTTAGATGACTTTCATTGGTGGTGGGCACTTGTGAACTTTTTCATTGCATATGTATGTTAAATTGCACTCAAGTACACAAATATTTACTCAATTCACAGTTGTAATACAGAAAACAACAACAACTGCAGACAAACAAAAATGTATGAGCTCAATGAAATTATATTTCTCCCTCCCCCCCCTCCCTGTCTATGAGTTTTTATCGAACAAGTGTGAAAGACGTCAAAAGTGAAACAAATCACGAAAATCGCATAAATACCTCATTTGGCTACGTGTTTATCATTACGAACATTGTTGTTGTACCATAGTAAGCTATTTTACTTTTTTAATTGCTTATAATGTAAATAAATACCGTTGAGGGTGAGTGAAAAAAAGTTAAATATTTGCTGATGGCATTTTACACAAATTTGTTATTTCAAGTATTTGGGATGTGCAATGAAATACTCATACATACTTACATACACACACACATACGTAAGTATAATATGTATGTATGTGTTTCTAAAAATATATACACAAATGCAGNAGACTTGTGAACTTTTTCATTGCATATGTATGTTAAATTGCACTCAAGTACACAAATATTTACTCAATTCACAGTCGTAATACAGAAAACAACAACAACTGCAGACAAACAAAAATGTATGAGCTCAATGAAATTATATTTCTCCCCCCCCCCAACCCCCACCCTCCCTGTCGATGAGTTGTTGTCGAACAAGTGTGAAAGACGTCAAAAGTGAAACAAATCACGAAAATTGCATAAATACCTCATTTGGCTACGTGTTTATCATTATGAACATTGTTGTTGTACTATAGTAAGCTATTTTACTTTTTTAATTGCTTATAATGTAAATAAATACCGTTGAGGGTGAGTGAAAAAAGTTAAATATTTGCTGATGGCATTTTACACAAATTTGTTATTTCAAGTATTTGGGATGTGCAATGAAATACTCATACATACTTACATACACACACACATACGTAAGTATAATATGTATGTATGTGTTTCTAAAAATATATACACAAATGCAGGACATATTAGACGGGCTTGGCCGGGGTTCTCCTCAAATGTTCGGTGTGCGGCGCGATGATTTCACGGGACCTATGCTTAATCTTAAATCTTTATAGTAATCTTGGCATTAACCTTAATCGTACTCTAAGTCCTAATCTTAATTTTAATGTAAGTCTTAATCTTATCCTTAATTTTAATATTAATATTAATCTTACTCTTAACCTTAATCTTAATCTTAACCTTAATCTTGAGTTTAATCTTAATATGCTGCTAAATCTTAACCTTCATCTTAATCTTGATCTTAATCCTAAACTTAATCCTATTAAAGGGCACACCTATCCTTTCGGATGTACCCCAACGGGGTAGTGCCCTGTACACACTGCAATAAATTTTTAGACATGTTTTAAGCTAATTCCTAAGAGAGCTTTGGTTTTAAGTGTGTCATAGAACACCCAGAATTGCCGCGTAATCCTGTAAGATCATATGCAGTTCCAACTCTGCTTGGCCTTCGAGGGATAAATTTCGGTAATTTTTGTCTTTATCTTCCTGAACTAGGCGCCAATGTCCCCTACCTGGGACACATTGCTTCGTTTCCGTAGATGTCCCTATGTCCCGGCACCCATATTAGGGTAATTTCGTATTGATCAATAATATATGCCAGCTCTCTCCTACATTCCTCCACTAGTTGAGATCTCACAGAGGTAGAAGAGAGTGCCTGAATGTTCGCATGGCTATCCGAGAGGATGTTCACCTGCGTTCTCGCGGGTACATTCTCTTTTATGTACCTCACTGCCTCCTTTTATAGAAAACGTTTCGGCCTGCAAAACATTCCGACCTGATCGCGAAAAGGTCCTGAAATAAACCTGAACAAGTTCCGAAACGGTCCCGAAATGATCCCGAAATGGTCCACAACTAGTTACTAAATGTTCCTGCATTTGGTCTTGAAGAATTCATAAACCGGTACCGCAAATGAAACCGAACTAGCCCCAAAATATTCTTGAACTAGTCCGGAAATCATCCCGCAATAGTCCTGAATTAATCTCGAAATGGTCCTCAAATAGTCCTGAATCAGTCCCGCAATGGTCCGACTAAGTACCTAAATGGGCCTGAAATAGCCTGAGCAGGTTTTGTAATATTCCTGGGCAATTACTGATTTTCTGCTGGGTTGCACATGAAGCCCTTAAAAGTTTTGTGCAAATTTTACCCCTACCGCAAGCTAAGATGTTTACACATCAAAAATAAACAAATTTAGTCATCCATAGGGTTATTTACTTAAAAATCAATAAAAAAAAAAATTCCAAGTTCTTAATACATAGTTCGTTCGAGCAAGAAAACTATGATTTTTGGATTTTTAAAATTTAACAAAAAAAGGTCAATTTTGTGATTGCAGTGTATCGCGGAATTATCCCGAAGTATTTAATAACGAAAGGATACGTAAAAGTTTTGTCAAAAACTCCGGCCTTATAAAACTTGGATTTGGTAGCGTATTTATACTCAAGTCTACACATGCATTTATAAGCAATTACACGTTTAATATTAAATAGCTTAAATGTTTATTTAATTCGAGGCATCTCAATCAGGTACCGTACACAATTCAATTTCATGTCATTAATCCTTGCTGGCGCATGCAAAAAAGTAATTTCTTTGCATTTTCGCATTCACAATTGTTACCATTGCATTTTTCAGAGTGAATAGTAAATCAAGTCTTAGTCTAAGTTACAACTGCGTGCGCGATAAATAAATGAATTGGGATAAAAAAAATGCGGAACTTCGGAAATCTTACAGCGCTGCTCAACATAATTGGATGGTCAGCAATTAGTCAAGAATTCATCGAAACACTAACAAATATTACGTTGGCCACTTCGTTGGAGAGACGCGTGAATACAATACTCTACACAAGCTATGCTGGAAGTAATCAAAGCTCGCAACCAACTGGCACGCCAGAGTCCTCACAAATACTATACACGCTCTCCAACGCATTGAGCCAGCCATTGTTGCATCTGGACACAACGCCGCCCATTCACCGCTATACCAAAAGATTCAACGCCGAACTGCTCTCCATCGCCAAACTGAAGCAGCGCTTTAAGTTGGACATACATCTATTGAAAAGGCTGTGGCGACGCCTTTGGCGTAATAGACAATCTCGTCTCATTCTGCTATTCGAGGATTGTGCCAGCGATGCTTATGTCGAATTAATACTTCAAATATGTGAAAAGAATCGCGCTACGAATGTAATTGCTTTACAGCCGCGTAGAACGGTGATGGAACGCACCTACTGGACTTTGCGAATATTTCCCAAACCCAAAGCGGTTAAACGCTCGCTACCAGCGCACTACAAGAGCATATTTCCCAAACATTTGCAGAATATGCATGGACATCCATTGCGTTTGGTCTTGACTTCCTTTCATCCACAAATCTACACCTACACACCAGCAAATGGAAATGCAACACTCAGCGGCTTTTTAGGTAGAGCCATTGCCGAGTATGCAACACATCACAATGCCACAGTGGAGTACACAGAATCCTTACTGAATATACATAAGATGTTCACCAGGTCTGAGCTGATTGAACTTTTCGAAAATAATTCCTATGACATTGGCTCGTTGGTGCCCATAGATAGCAACGAACGTGACTTGAGCTTCTCCGTCGTATTCCAACGCAGCGATTGGTGTCTGATGGTGCCTGTGGAACAGCCACTGCCCAAGTCCACATTTTACTATAAAATCTTAGATAAAACAATCAAAATTTTATTTTGTGTTTGCTTTTTATTCATCTCTGTTGTGTGGTCACTTTTATCGCATTGGGAAAATAAGCAACCACTTTCATTCATCACTTACATGCCCAACTTTTCGGTGCTTCAAGGTCTGATGGGCATGTCATTTTGGACAAATCGGCGCGTTTCAGCTGTTCACAAAATTATCAGCGTTACCGTTTCGTGGGCGGGTGTCATTGTCAGCACGACATACACAACATATCTGCAAAGTTTCACCATAAATGCGCCCATCGGCCAGAGAATCAACACCATTGAAGAGTTACTGCGACGTGGCATCAAATTGGCTATTACGCGTGAAGATTTGTCGTTCGCTGCGAATAATTCAGATATTCAAAAATATATGCAAAATTTCACCGTTTACACGAACTTTACCGAATATGTATTTCTACGCGACTCATTGGACACACGCTATGCTTTTCCGGTGACCGACATTTGGGCCATTTACGATGAGCAACAGAAATATTTCTCACGACCGCTTTTTCGTTTTTCAAATATGTGCTTTGGTGAAAATTATCCAATGGTTTTACCGTTGCAGGAGAGTTCAGTGCATCGACAACGTTTGAATGAATTTCTAGAGCAGCTGCATGAAGCTGGGCTGGTGGAACACTGGCGGCGACACAGCTTTGTGGAATTAGTGGAGATGCATTGGTTTCGTCTGGAAGATCGAAATAAAAAGCCGGGTTTCGAGCCGGTGAAACTGCAGGATCTACATGGAATATTGACAGGACTAGGTGTGTTAATAGGTCTGGCATGTGTTTGCCTTGTATTGGAGATTCTATGGAACAAATATGGAAAAGTGTTCAAAGCCTTAATGCAAAAAATGCGTAAGATAACAAAATTTGGAAAATAAATTGTTTCTTTCTAAATGCAGTATAAAATTTGCGCATGCTTATTGTCATGTGAGTTTCATTAAAAAAAAAAACTGGATTAAGCGCAGCTTAAACGCAATGGTAACATAAGTGCCTTGAAAAAATTTTGAAGAACGAACAACATTTTGAATTGCCGTAAAACTAACTGCCGATGTGATTTTCATTTTATAGATATAGATATTCTGATGACGATCGACAAACATAATTACACTGCATCCATAGAGTATTAACCCTTTCAGTACAAGCGTCCAATATATTGGAGAAACTTTGTTTGCGCTTAAAGCTCTTTTTTCGTGAATATGAGCTTTTTGTTCTGAGACAATCATATCTTCCTCTATACCGCGTTTTTTTAATTATATATTTATGCGGTTGACAGTGTTTTTTTCACAAAAGTGAAAAGTGTCATAAAAGTCCATAGAAGTGTAACTTATTAAAAACTTCACTTATTTTCGATGGGATTGAGATTCGCAAATATTTTTTATTATTATCAGTAGTTTTGAATTATATTTCGCAAAAAAAAATAAAACTGACGAAACTTAGTAACGCTAAAACTAACAGTTTTATTCTTAAGATCGACGATTCAAAATTTGCCGATATTTAAATTTTCAGTTTTTAGTTTCAACGGCTGATTTTTTTACTGAAAGGGTTAAAAATCTGTCGAATACTCGAAACGATGGGCATCGCCTTTGGCTATTAACCCTAGAAGGGCAATCAATATGTATACATTAACTGTATCAAAATAGTATTAGATGACTAAGTAAAAATAAAGAAAATAAATAAATGGAAAATTTTACTCAAAGCATTAATACAATGTTTTTAAAAATGTTTACAATTCTTTTTTGTTTTTTCAGAGATTTGTTGAAAGGTCTGCTACCGAAGTAAAATAGAAACAAACAATTGTTCAGCAAAAACACAACCGACTTCAAGTCTCATATTAAAATTTGGGATTACCCTAAATTTCTTCATGATCAAATGGCGGATCTAAACCAGATTAGTGAGGGGCTACCCCTGAAATGCCACCTTCCCGATGAAAAATGAATTATCGCAATCAGTTCACTTGATCCAAAGTTATGCGGTAACATACATACATACAAAAAAATATATATAAAAACCGACGAATTGATAACCTCCTCCGTTTTTTAAAGTCGTTTAAAAATTTTATTTTTTTTTTTAACGATAAAAACTTAGAATTAAAATAAAATGAATTCAAAAGGAAAAAAATTAATTACAACAAAGCAAATAATAAATAAAATAAATTTGTAAAAACTAAGTTATTAAAAAAAATATTGAAACAATAAAATCTAAAAATTAAAAGAAAATAAAATTAACCGAAAAGTTTAACTAAACATAAATGAAACACATTTTACCTTTTAAAACAATGAAATCTATTAATTTAATTTAAAATAAAAAATAATTAAAATAATAAATAAAATAAAATAAAATAAAATAAAATAAAATAAAATAAAATAAAATAAGAACATAAAAATTAAATGAAATTGAAAAATTGTTTCTTTTTAATATAATAAAATCTAAAAAGTAAAAGTAAACTAAATTAAAAGAATATGTATAAAAACAAATAAAATAAATTCCCAAAAATTAAACGAAATTGAAAAAATATATATCTTAAAAATTTGAAAATTGAAAGAGAGATAAAATGAAGAAAGAATATATCAAGCTAGAAAATAATACCCCGACTGCGGGGACTAGTACCTGTGACCTCTATAATGGCACACCAGCGCTTTACTCACTCGACCATTGAGACTGGTGGAGCAAAATGATATACGAGTACATCCTCATTTGGAACATACTCGAGTTATCTCTGTCAAAAGAGCTTCTCAGCATGAAAATTGGGAAGTGAGCTTTTTTTTTGGTAAGAGTTTCGTGCCAAGATAACCAACTCTTCCAAAGAATCTTGCCGACTGTCTTTCAAGTGTCTTAAAAGAGACTTGCAAATATCTTAGCTAGAATTTCCCTAAAAACTTGTTGTTTGGTTTCCATATTACATCGTATATGGTTCTTAATTTTGGATAGGGAAGTGCCACTCGTAAAAATTTGTAATTCTGCATTAATGACTATGAATCACAATCAACTTTATGCCACCAGTTCTTTGAGATCAATAACAATAACCGCACTGTGAACATTTAAATAGAAGTCGTTTATGATTAACGGTGGTTTTATTTACAAAAGTCAAATAAATTAAGTTTTTAAAAGCTCTGTAGTACCACATCTACATACTTACCGTGGAAACACAATGCCGGCGAACGGCGAAATCACCACAGCGAAATTTCCCCCTGTCAAAATTAGAACACCCGCAGGTATATGAAATTGAATACAGCCAAAGCGAAATACGAAGTTCGCACGGCGTCGTTTTTTTTTGTCGTATGTTTTTTTACTTTCAAAGTTTTAGAAGAAAACAATCTATAACACGAATAATTTTTGTTGGTTGAGCAATATAGTGATCGATTCGTTAAATCTGGCATAACATAAAATAATTCCTCCTCGTTTTTTCTTTATATTTGCTATCATTTCATCATTTCCAAATATGGTCTCGTTTTTCGAAATATGATCAACTAAATTAGAATTGCAAAGAAATGCTATCTGCTGTTTTCACTACCGCTCTAATGCTGTTAAAGGAGACGAAATAGCAGGGCGAACTGTGAACGACAGCTTCGCTTAATTCGGCGAACTTCGCTGTTCGCCGGGTATTGTGTTTCAAGCATTATTATGTAGCAAGTAGCAAATCCTATAGCATTTTCGTTTAATAGGAAACATTAGGGGAATTCACCAAATTGGACAAGTGACCTGACATTCGGGTAAAAGAGCAGATTAGCTGTTGTCAACAACCCCAAACTATCTAAACACATATACACGCTTGTATTCGTATTTGCTCGCTAACTTTGTTGTTGTTCCACCATATATAAGCAAACAAAGATTATGAATTGCTGACACGCGAGCAGACGACATACAGTATCGGTCATATCTATAGCA